AAGTTGGTCGTCTCTAGTTAATTTTTTAAACGCGTGGTTCACCAAATTTTTTTTATTTTTTATTTATTATTATTAGTTTTAAGAAATACGTAGCATGTGTCTCTTAACTAGATACTACGCAGGTCTTTTCAAAAGCCCCTTCCAATTTACGTTTTTTTTAACACCTATTAGTTCGTCTCTTCAACAACAACCTGTTAGGTTTATTGATTTTTTTTCTTCTTTCTTTGGTTATTTTGCAATATTTATTTTTTAATTTATTTTAAATATATTTAAGGTTTAAGGTTTAATTTTGTTAATAACCCTACTTTAATTAGAAAATAATATTTTTAATTCATCAATACAATTAGGGAATAAATAGTTAGTTTATCAATACTAAATTAGAGAATAATATTCAACATGTAAATAAAATATCAATTAATATCTAAAATGTACAGTTAAATAATCAAAATTAGGCATTAAAGTCTATCAATCTATCTATCTAATGTGTCCCACATCGGGGAGGTTGTCGATGACGATGTGGTTGTCGACGATGAGCTCTCGGTGCCTCTGGTGTCTGTTGATCCTCGATAGGGTTGAGGTATTGTCCACATACTCTCCACGCCCACGTCCATGACCATCATAACCATATACACATGTGAACCTGGGTCGAACCAGGAGTCGATATCATAACCATAGGCGTGGATGGGCCGACATTATCCTGTGTCTGTGTAAAAGGTGGAACATCATCAACATTATGATATATAACTTCAGGTTCGGGAATTTCAGGCTCGTTTGGAGCATCCTGCTCTAATTGACGACGTCCTCTACGCATGGGGCTGTGAGTAGGTGTAGGTACTCTATACAACTTATGAAGCCTTTGAAGATGTCTCCCACTAGTGATACACAAGCTATTATATCTTTTGACGATGAGAGGATACTAATTTGTTCGAAACACAAAACTTACATAGAAAAAAATTAAAATTAATATATATTTAAATTCAAATATATAGTTTGTAAAGCCAAATTAAAAAACATATCATAGCACCAAACAATCCTCTTTCTTGAGTGATATAACATCTAGTAATTGACAAATATCAACTCATGTATCTAGGATCGAAATCACCATCATCGTCCACCGGAGGATGAATAGTAATATAATCTCTACGCAGGCGCCACCTAGCCACATAAGGTGCCAAAGGTCTATGTCATGTATCTTCGGGTCCCAACTAAGAACATCTGAACTTGATTGTTTCAAACCAAAGTGTCTTGCAACTCTATGTGGCTGATGCCACTCAACTACATGAAAACAAATGAGTGGACTTATTGTGCACCGTATCTCATGTCCATTGCTGCAGTAATCTGGTAGGGATGCAAATTCCTTATTGATGGCTCCCAAATCATCTGAAATGTTAATGTAAAAATATCATATCAAAAGTCAATCAACTTATATTTATAATTTTAGACATTTAAACACATACCGATCTTGGTGTCAGGAGATCCAACATGTATTTGTACTGAACCAATACATGTGTCGATAATTCTGTGACACAAAATTGATCTCTCCACCTACAATAATACTCTAAGTTTGTAAAGTTGTGACTATATTAGAATTAATGCTATGACACAATGAAATAGTTAGATCGACATATCGTGCAGCTAATGGTCGTCCCACTGGCTCATGTTCCACGATGTGGCAACGAGATGGAGCCATGCTTGGGAACCAATCCCAAGCCCATACTTAAAGAAGTATGATCGGATTAATGTCTTGCGAATCAGATTGACATGTCTTGCATAAATGTCGATACAACCATGCCAAGCATGCTCCTCCCCAACTGAATTGTCCAGCAATCTCAAAATCAGCCAACAATGGAAGGAACATAAAATGGATCAAGTTATTAGACTTATCGGCGAATAGGCTACCACCAATAAGTTGCAAAATGTAAGTACGAACATATCAAGCAATGGTTTCCTCGTCAAAATTGTCATTTAAGTTGCTGAACCGATAAGCTAACCATGGTAAACTAAGTCTAGATTCTCTATGTGTGAGTCATTTAGAGTCACACTAAGTAATAATTGGCTGGTGACTTTCCAATCATAATGTACGAGCCCTGTAACTGGCTCACCATCTACTAGTAATCCAAGCTGCACTGCTACGTCCTGGAGAGTTATAATGCATTCACCATCACGCATGTAAAAAGTATGAGTCTTCGGCCTCCACCGTTCCTATGAGTAAAGACATAATTTAATTTTTTACGAAATTGAATGACATTTCTTTGCACAACAAGTACTATCTTTGATTCCTAGATTTCTTATTTTTAGATACCTTTTCTAGGTATATGCTATCCACGAGTATCTGTTGATTTAAACTAGCCAATCCTAAAACAATTTACAAAGAGAAAAAAAAAGATGAGAAATATGGAAAAATAAAAAGGAAAAAAGGAAAAGTAAGATAGAGTATGATAAAATCAAATAAGAGATGTTGATTCAATTAAAACCTTGTTAAAAAAAAAAAACTTTCTCTGCCATATGTTTAATCACCCATTTGAACATAGTCTAATGTATAAGACACTTATTACTATTCAAAAAGTTGATGGTTCTATTTTCACTCTACAATTTTCGAACTAAAATATGAAAAAGAGGAATGTATGGTACCTAAAGTTATATTTAGGAGGGATATGGATTCTTTTTTTTTTTTTTATTTCGTCTCTTTCATGAATATATAGTTGGTCATAAATGCGACATTTTCCTTCTTGCTTCAATCAATTTATAACCTTCAACTTACCCCTTGAACGAATTAAACAATTAATAATTTTTTTAAAAAAAATAAATAATTAATAATAGGTTTAAAACCGTTAGTATTAACATTATGTGTATGAGTGATATTATGCTTTATACATGCTTTTTTGTGTATTTTATCAACTTTTTCTATGATACCATGAAAATATTAATTCACCCTTCATATCAATGTCGAACTCATGTATATATAAAAATGCGGAAATTAAATACCCTAGATTCAAAAGACTCAATATCTTATGTCCTAATAGATATAACATTGCAACAAGTTATCAAATTAAAAAGACATGCACCATGAATGGACCAACCCAACGTTTTACTCATTAAAGCTTGAAATCATTGCAAATCTTTTTTTGCTACAAGTGCAAAGAATCAGTTACAAGTGCAACCGCAAAGGACATTATTCTAGCAAGTGCCCTTTGAAGGATAAGATCAATTCTCTGACCATAGATGAAGAAACACGGCAATCTCTTCTCTATGCCATCAGAAGTGAAGAAGAAAACTCCTCGAGTTCCGAATCTTCTACTGACAATGATGAGATCAATCTCATAAATGAAGAAGATTCTGACGAAGAGACCTTTTTCTCTCAAAGTGATTCCTCCGAAGAAGATGGAATTGTTCCCTGCACTGGCCATTGCGCTGGAAAATGCCACGGCCATATCAATGTCATCAGTAAAGATCAAGAGGCTCTCTTTGATCTAATTGATCAACTACCCGATGAAGGCTCCAAAAGAATGTGTCTTCTTAAACTCTGGGAAAGCCTTGAAGCAGAAGCTCTTCAAAGGAAACCAGAATATAACCTAATAGAATATTCTTTTCACGATATTCTAAAAAGGGTCAAAGGAGAAGTTAAGAAGCCAATCCAAATTGAAAATCTCCACACTGAAGTGAAGAATCTCAAAAGAGAAGTTGCTAGTAATAAGCAACGACTTTCTACTCTTGAATTCACCTTCAGAAAATCCCAAGAGTCAGAAACCACGGAAGGAGAAACTTCCTCAAAATCTGAACAAGCTTTACGGATTGGTTCACCAAGCGGAATCAATTACATAAGCAAGGTTCAAAATCAAAAATGGATGTCAAAGATTGTTTTCAAGATCAGCGTCTTCCAACTGGAAACCTTCGCTCTCATCGACTCTGGAGCCTATCAGAACGTCATCCAAGAAGGATTAGTTCCTTCTAAATATTTTGAAAAAACAAAAGAAGTTCTTAGCGGAGCCGGTGGGAATCCGTTGAACATCAAATACAAATTATCAAAGGTCCACATCTGCAAGGACGACGTGTGCCTTATCAACACCTTCATCCTGGTCAAAAACCTTAATGAATGAGTCATACTAGGTACCCTCTTCTTAACTCAATTATATCCTTTTTCAATCTCTGATAAAGGAATAGTGTCAAAGAAGTTCAACAAAGAAATTATCTTCGAATTCAGTCAGCCGATAATTCCAAGATACATTTCATCAATTGAAGAAGACATCAGTCTTTATATCAATAATATCGCAAAGAAGGAAAAACAGATTGAATTC